GTGTAAACAGCATAAGCGGATGTAAGTACAACCAAGCCAATTAAATTTCCCTAGAAGTTAAAATAAATGGCGGCAGCTGCCTTAACCTAAAAGATGCAAATTCCTGCATTTGCACAAACTGATAAACAAGTAAGAAATCCCGCTAATTATCTATTGTTTGAATAGGTTTGGATCAAGTTACTTTCCCTTTTTGTGTGTTATTTGCTGCGTTACTCATTTCTTCTCTGATGGGTGTCCAGAGCGTTTTACCTCTTTCATAAAGTAGTTTTCTAATTAAATTTTGTTGTTTATAGTGGTGTAGTTTGTAGTTTATAGATATTTTAGAATACGTAGATTTTTATTTTTTAATTAAAATGTGTAGTGCTGCAAAACGTGATACGTGGGAAGTAGAGGAAACACGGTTCCTTTTGAGACTAATCCGCGAAAAGCAAGTGTTGAAATCGTTGGATGGAAAGAGATTTCGAGCAGTCGACATCTTTCAACATCTAGAAGAACCGATGCATGAGAGAGGATATTTGAAGAATGCCAAACAAATGCAAACCCGTTTTAAAACATTACGATGTAAGTCTACCTAACTTTAATTCAATAAGAGATTTAATTTTATATCTTTTAGTTCAATACAATAAGTGTAAACGGCAATTGAGTACAAGTGGTGCACAAAACTGTCGATCGGACTTTCCCTTCTATGAAGAAATGAACGTTCTCCTAGGCGATAGGCCAGTTTCACAACTGCAAGGTGTCGATTCTGCACAATGTTCGTCCAAGGAATCAAATTCAGAATCGGACCAATACGCAGAGGACGATTATGAAAATACAGATGTCGACACAACATTAACTCAAGAACAAGATGATTTACAAGAGAATACCCCCGATCACGCTGCTGAGGAGTACAATGCGACCCAGGAGTCTGATGAACCAGTGCCAAAAAGAAGACGTTACTCTGAGAAAGGAGGACGACGATCGTACCAACAAAACATAGAAAATTATGCTAGAATTTCAAAGCAAAATTCTCTTGAAGTGCAGGAACGGCAAATCGAGAGTGTTTCACAACTATTTCTACAGCAAAGGGAATATGAAAAGGAAATGATGAATAACTTTATGGAACAACATAAAGAGATCATGCAGCAAACAACGAATGCCATAATTAGTTGTTTAAATAATGTTTTCCATGTTCATGAATTGAATAGACCATCTACTTCTCGTTCTGAACCTAGCCGGCCGAGGGAACATGTCAAGGGATGTTTGTGTGTACAATGTATTAATGTGGAATAAGGACTTTATTTTTTCTACAGTAAATTTTTATAAAATACTTTGTAACAATTTACAATACATTGTCTACTTATACCAAGTCTTTCTTAACGGAAAATTGGACGCGAGATAATTTTTAATAGTGTCTCTAATGGTGTGACCGCTAAAATGCTCACGTTCTCTGCTTGTATTTATCCGTGGTTGTGGAAATATCACTTCTGCTTCCATAACTGCTTTTTCCCACTGCACCACATAAGCCTCTTTTCTGCTTTCAACTATATTATGTAAAATGCAGCATGCAGATACAATCTGGGGTACAAATGAGTAGTGAATATCAAGGCGTTTTAAAAGACACCTCCAGCGTGCTTTTAATCTCCCAAACGCAATCTCCACGGACACTCTTCCCGCATTTAAATAAACATTAAATGACTCTTCTTCGGGGGTGAGTCGTGCAGATTTTGTGTACCCCTTTAAGAGCCAAGGTAGCAGTGGGTAGGCTGGGTCCCCCATGATCATGAAAGGAACATTTACTCCATTTATATCAATACATTTCTGAAACAAATTGGTAATAATAACTCATGCACAACATAAATAGGTACCTTTGGAATAAGTTGTTCTTGCTGTTTAAATAAAACAGACTGTTGAAAAACTGCTGCGTCATGCGACGAACCAGGCGATTTGCAATTGATATTCCGAAATCTATAATGAACACACATAGTTAACAATCAATTATTACTAGTGGCAGTATAAGAACCTGTATGAATGATCAACCACTGCTTGCAGGATCATCGACGGCCACCCCTTTCTATTAACAAAATCTCGATAACCATCGGCGGGTGGCAAAATAGGGATGTGAGTCCCATCTATCGCTCCAATTAAATTTGGAATATGTGTTGTCTTCTCATATTGAAAAGATATGTCATCACATTCAACACTGTTAGGCATATTTACACAAGAATCCATCAACACACTATTAATAGTGTTTACAACTCTATGTACACATTTCCACACAGTTGATTTGTGGACTCCAAAAGCATTTGCCACAACCCGATACTCCGCACAGCTTCCCAAAAAATACAATGTTATTGCAACCTGCTTTTCTACTGACACGGGCTCTCTAGTTTTCACATAGTTTTCACAGGGCAGCAAACGATTTCTTAACTGGTCGCACAACCATAAAAAACTGCTTTTGGACATTCGAAAATTTTCGTTCCAATCACAGTCACTGAAGTGTTTTAAAACGATTCTCTCCCACCACTCACTACTTCTCTTCTTCATCCACATGGTTTTGCGATTACATTGCAAAACCGGTCCTAAGTTTAATGTTTCGCTTGGTGTTGTTCCAATTAGATACAGTAACAACATTTGGGTAAAGCGTTTTCGACATTTTACAATGTTGTTAATGAAAAAGTTGCATAACTGTTCGTTAATGGAAGTATACAACTGCCATAGAGTGGGAAAAACACTGGCAATTATTACTTCATTCATTTCGCGGCACAAGATCAAAAACGAAGTTACAACAGAAAACAAATTAATTAACCTCACTTCTCCTAATTAAATAATAGACGTGAAGTTGGCTGTTCTTATTTATGTTGGTAGCTATGGACGTTACTGTTCGGACTTCAGTTGAATGTTATTACACCCAACCACAGAACGTACGTTATAACTCCTGTTCTGTGTAAACACGTATCATAAAACCGGATTAGTAAAATCCGTAGTTATAAAACCGGCGTTAGGTGTCCGTGTAAACGTACTCTATGTACACAGATGGACGGACGTACGGCCGAACAGAAAGTCCAAATCATGAACTCGCTTTTTGTTTCTTGTTTCTCTCAAAACTCAAAATTTTATAAATTTGGTGTAACTAACACATTCCCTCACTGTTAAAAAATTTAGCCACAGAATTTAAATCCCCATATATTTTACACAAGGACGTTAAATTAACGTCCTTGATTTTACAAAATATAAATATAGTTAACTAATTTATTAACGATCCTTAAGACCGTTTATAATTTTGTATTGCTGTCTGTCCGCGTGCACGATAACTTTGTGTATAAACGTCCGAGTGCTTTGAAAATTGATACACATGTTCTTAATGTTAAAGAAAGGTCGCTATTGTTTTTCGGCTACGTATAGACTAACGAGTTAAAAAGTTACAGCCCAAACCGCCAAAAAAGGGTTTCTTTTATAATTCTTGTTACAAAGAACATATGAATGTCCAGTTTTCTGATGTTAGTAATTGCTATGCAGATGAATAATACAAAATTGTGCAACCCAACTTCATAGGTGTTTAAATGAAATTTTGTACATACGTAGGCACCTCAAATAAACGTTAACCTAATGTCGGCAAACACTGACATCTCCGTTATTCATGAACCGAATTGCATGAAATTTTGTACTATGCAATTAAAAATGAGTTGCTGTCGAGTCACCTTTGGAATTTTTGTTTCCATGGAAAATCGTACTTATCTTGAACTTCCAAAGGCAACTCGACATCAGCAACTCATTTTTGATCGCCTGTTATGTAGGCACCTCGAATAAAAGTAAAACTATAATGCCGTGCCGAATCAAAAAATGTGCGCATGTGCAATTTCAAATTTTTTATTATTCAGCGATATTTAAATGAAATTTTGTATATATGGACCTCGAATAAAAGAAAAGCTAATCCGATTCAAAAATTTATTTTAAGCCCGCTTGACATGGAGCAATAAAAATTGCAATTGCATGCAAGTTGCAAGAAAAATTGCGAAAGGCATGCGCAGTTCAAAGCCAGCTGATCAATTGCTGCAAGAGACTTGCATGCAATTTTTATAGGACCGGTGCTATTTTGCTTGCATGAATCGTGCAATTCTAGGGATAAATCTAGTTGTTTTTGTGGCACCAACCTAGTAAAATACAGCGGCGGCAACTGTGATGCTGAGAGACGCACTCATTACTTGTTTTTACTAATCTTATTTATTCTTGTAATTTTCATGCTTCTTCAAGCAATCAAAATTTAATTTTCATTTGAGGTTAACAACTTTGTTGACAAATCCATATGTTTCTTCTGTTGGCAGACATGTGGCAATTGAAATAGAATTGCACCATGTCAAATACCATGCAATGCTTATTGCATGCAAGGATTTGACCTTGCAATTTCTTTCTGCAAGTTCTTGCGCGTAGTATTGCTCCATGTCAAGCGGCCTTTACAAGCTATGTTTTGTTTTGTCTCAGTGCCAGCCGCCAACGACTCTGACATGCCGTGTTGTCAATCCCATTACGTCATTACGCGTTAGCGCAGAAAATTTTACTCATTTATAGTAGTGTTTTCGTGAAGTTTCTAAAAAATGAGCGGAAAAGGAGGTGCAATTTGTAAAAAAACAAAAGTTAGAAAAACAACAAAAATTAAATGAAGTATTATAAAAAAAACCAAGATTCAGCTTTTTTCCCTACCTACTGGCGGTATAGTGTGACACATATATACAATGGTATGACTTAGCCCCCGACGGCCCCTGAACTAAATCCGGCACTGCCTGCACTGAAGGCCAGAGTTGGACCACGCCCAAATGTCTCGCTCCCTGATGAGACAAGCTGGATTTCCTTTCCTCGCAGTTTTACTAAATCAGACCTATTTTCATATGGGCTCCAGTATCGGTATGTACAGGGCACGAACTTATAAATTAATATGGACTGCTGATCAAACAGTTGCATAGAGGTAGAAATGGCCGTAGCATGGGCGCGGCCATGATGTGCACCTTTTAGTTATTTTCTTGGGGAATTTTCCTAGTGCTCAAGTTTTGAGACTATTGCAGCCTTGGAAAATGACATGTATCAATTTATTTTATAGCGTTTTCGATTGGCAAAACTCGTGCTGCACGAGTGCAATTTTTATGTTCTATTGGTAATTTTAGGGCAATTTTCTGTGTTCCATTGGCAAATGTGATGCAACAATTACGCACTAAATGCAAATTTTGACGCACGAGGTCGGAGAGCTCGTGGAGCACATTTTCAAAATAAAAGTGCGCCAATTTGAATTTGTTTCTTGCGTTGGAGAGTTTTTTGTTGTCATCTAGCGATAGCGAAGATGATGAACTAGCCATATAACTTCTACTTTACAAAAAGTTGCATTTGCTCTTTAAAGTGAACGCCAAAAATTGGTTCTTTACAGGAATTTCAAATTTATATTCCTCATTGTTTATCATAAATAATAGTGAAATCGTTTCAGTCATTTTTTTAGAATACAGATTTGTCGATTACCTAAATCATTGTATAAATACAAATCTAAAATGAGGTTATGGACAAATGACAGCAAATATTTACGAATATTTATGTTCCATTGAGAGCAATTTTCACATGGATTTCTTCAGTTTCTCGTGCAGTACGAGTTTTGCCAATCGAAAACGCTATTAGAAAACGTGAGGTTAATGCTTGGTTATTAGTTGATTTGAATTTCGCGCCAAGTGAGTGCACATCATGGCTGCCCCCATGTAGCTTTCATTTGTCAATTCAGCATTAGCAGCATATTTATAAAGCGCGGTTTAGACGCTACGGTTACGATCGAATCGTTACAATTTATCGTTGCGTGTGAACAGAGGATTGTAGCGATTTATTGGAATTGGATTGGATGGTTGATGGCGGCCGGCTTCAATTTCTGCGAATCGTAGCGATAAATTGGAACGTGTAACCAATATCAGCGATTTATCGCTACGATTTGTGCCTAATGTTGCCGACGTGAACCAGTTTTGTATCCATTTGGGCTACTTGGACTGTCTCTAGCGCACACGTTTTACATTTGGCGAGTGGCGATCAAGTTTGGCCACCCAAAAAAAATATTTGGCGACACATGGCTAGTCAAAAATCATAATCGAAATTAAGATTCTATTGTAAGCAAGCAATGTAAGCAATAAAATGCGAGTATAATTTATATTAGTGGACAGAACCAAAAGACAAGTAAGTGAAAAATAAAAAAATAAAAACTGTATTAAACCGTGAAGGACAATGAGATTGGAACAAGAAATCGTTACATGTAAACAGTACGCACTCTTTCGATTTATTGAAAGATAAATTGGACAATCAGATCGTTACGATTTATCGAAGCCAAGATCGTAGCGTCTAAA